TATTAATTATTATTATTCCTCCTCCTCCTCCAGTTTGCCCTTTGTGTTTTGTTTTTATCAAATTGTAACAGGTGACAGGCAAGAGAAAGGAAATAGTTTAAACCGCTTATGGGGGAGAGAGGGGAGAAGAAAGCTTCTTTACTACTAATAAAATGCAATCAATACACATTGTTTTAAAGTACAATAAAAATTAGCATTAAATATTCAAATTGGTAAATAGAAGAATCTTTTCCTTAGGTTTTTCACGTATTATGCCAAAAGAGCTGACCAACCATGGGCTGGTTTTGGCTGACAGAGCATGATGTTCCACTTCTACATTTAGCCTGGTACACAAAAAAGGTTGAAGTAAAGAAAGCGCTGTGAGATACTAGACAAGACTTGGAGCTGTTTAATCACACATGCAATCAATACTGCAAAAGGAAGCTTGCAAAAGGCTTACACAGCAAATCAACACACTGCTTCTAAATCAGATTACTACGCAGATGTGGTTATCAACGGTAAATGCAGCCCTTTCTGGTTTCCTCAGCTGCGCACTCCTGAGGCAGAGAACCCCTAGAGGATCCCGAATTCTGGCTGTGCAGGGGACACTGTATGAAACTAGAAACAAGCCAGCTATTTCCTTGCATTTCCATTATCTCAGGTGGAAAAAACAGCTGTTTAAGAATCCATCACTTTAGCACTAAAAATTCTGTCTCCAGAAATCACATTCCTTAAGCACACCACAACCACCAGTTACCTGTAGCGGCGTTCTTCTGCTGGAACTTCGTTAAATATAAATTCATTCCTTTCCGGAAGTCCTGGGAACGTACAAATGAACACATAATGGCACCAGAACGGAGGTCCTTTCTACCCTCCCTCCACACTGCATTTATATTCTAGGAGCGGCCAAGGAGTCTCAGGATCAGTATGTACATCTGTAACTCCCTCCACATTTCCCCGCTATCTTATTTCTCCTAGCTAAGTTCAAATAGATCCCAAATACAGACTGGAGAAAAGTTTTTAAAACACAGAATACACAGATTTAATTTTTTAAAATGGTATTTTTAACGGTTAAACCATTTGGCAATCTACATTTGGCTTTTTAACAACAATCTTTTTACCTCATCACCAATGTAGTCATGCAGCATTCGGATTACAGATGCTCCCTTGCTGTAAGAAATAGCATCGAATATTTCATCTACTTCAGATGGATGGCCAACACTAACCTGTGGTAAACAGGATAAGTAACAGTGAGAACTATTTTAACTGCCTCAAACAGAAACCAGTACAAGCCCAGCAAGGTCTGCATTGTGACTAACTCCAAAGTTCCCTTTTTAAGAAAAAAAAGCTTACACCCAGCTGACAGGAAAGAGGGAGACAATCGACAGCAAAGAGAACTTACTTCAATAGGATGACTGTTGTCTAAGGCATCGAGCTCTTGAGCTCGCGTGTAATCAGCAGAAACAAACTGAGTCCAGATATCGTACTCTGGGAAACAGTGATCTACACATAGGTACTCAATCCAAGAGGCAAATCCTTCATTCAGCCAGAGATGGGTCCACCATTCCTGTAAAGATAAGAAGGCAGAATAAAGAACAAAATTGCAAGATTTAATCAACAAGAAGTTTCCAGCAACGATAATCTGCTAATGGCCTAATTTAGTACAAATCAGAGAAACAGGCAACACTTGTAAGCACAAATTCCTCTCTATAAAGAAGTCACCAGCACCCAGTAACTGTCTTAACTGCAGGGAGGAGAATTGCATCAGGTACAAATGAGGTTCCTGGAGACCAGACTATAGAGGTCAGAGCAGAGCCACTGAGGGAAGAGCTAAGGATGTCAGCTAGGACAGGGAGAGGTCAGTGACACTGAATACATGGTTCAGTACAGCAGCAGAATTGTGGACAACACGACCCTCAAGAGCAGCAGCTGCAGAAGACTGATTTTGGTTGGGTTTTTTTTTTTTTGCTAAAGAGTCTGCTTATGTAAAGGAGAAAACTTGGAATCTGAAAACGTGTTCTAGACTACAGCAACCTGAAATCCAGTAAACAGTTCAAAGTTGTTTCTCACCAGCCAGAGGTGGGCTTTGGTTTTTTAAGATAAGAATGTTACACTGACGTTTTCAAAATTCTTCCCTTCATTTCTAGTATTTAACTGAAGTAGGCGAGATAAGGAAACAAGCTACGGATACTGAGGAAGAAAACACCCTTTTCCAGAGCTGCGCTTACCAACCATTCTTTCAGTGTAAATGGGGCGGTTAACTCACCCAAGCACGGCTATGATGATATGGGCCCTTGAGTAAAAGAAACTCAACAGGATGTAGGACCAGACCAGAAAGCTGTTCTACAAAGGACTACTGCTTCTCCTATGAATGAAATATTTACCCCAGGGAGGGTGGAATTTCAATAAGGAAAGCTGTGACTGAAACTCCACACAGATAAGCCTCACTTTATTTTTAGAGTGGAGACTGTCCAATTTTCTTTTACATTTCTGATCGCAACTGTTTCCAAGACAAGGTTCCAATACACACAGATCGGTGCCAAAGGATTAATGCAACTGCAACACAGATTCTTGGGCCATTAGGTTGACTACTAAATCTTTTCACCTCTTATCCCACTGGCAACCTAATTGCTCACGAACCTATTTCTTACCCTGGAAACATTCTGATTTCTTTTCTCTTTGCTACAGAAGAACTGGAATATTGTGCTGGCCAATAACATGTGGTACTGGCAAAGCAAAGCCTCAGGAGCATCGCTGGTTTCTGCTTATAGAGGAGAAAAAGCTGACTTTCTGGAAATTGAGAAGCAACATTGGAATGTCTTTTTAGATTTCACAGTTGCATCACAGAACGTAAAATAACGGGAGAAAAAAAATATTAACGGAAATTTTTTTGAAGACCTAGAGCTTCAACAGGAAAAGAAAAAGCCTGTTTAGTAGAAATTTTAGAGATCCTTGTGATACTTTCCCAAGCTTACTGCCACAGCACTCAATGGTCAGAAGGACCACAAGCGCTTTGTGGGTCACTAACGGTCCCCAAGGCAGTTGCTGGCATCCTACAGTGATGTCCAGTCACATGCTGCTGGCTCTCCTTGCTTCCAGCTGTTCAACTGTACTAAAAGCTAAAAATATATTACTTTAATACTACTTTTCCATTTAAACATTGTGTTGCCTTCACGTGGAAGCTACCTGTGCTACCACAAACAGGAACGGGCACAGCTGACCACATTTTAAGAGGAGTGGCACAGTGGAAAATTTTGACAAACTGTGCTTAGTGTTGGAATTAATATTTACATTGGGTTTTTCCCTCCATCCACTTGCACTTCATTCAGGCAGCCTAAAAGCCAGAAGAATGCAGATCTGGGGCTCCAGAAGCCATGCTTTTGTATGAAACACACTGGTTTCCTACAATACAAGAAACTGCCTAACCTGTGAAATATTTGGATTCAAGCAGCTGTTGGCAGAGTATTGGGAAAGGGAACATCAGATCTAATTAACAGAGTAAGCTGAAGCCAATTGTTAACAGCAGAAGCTCTGACAGTGACAGGTTTCAGTTTTCAGCACTAAATAGAAACTATTTACAGATTTCAGTCTTGCTGCCTCAGTCATTCACATGAGTTACTACTGAGTAACTTTTCAGCTACTGGACTAGACCAATTTGCAGTGCTGAGCTGGTACTGATACCCCTGCTTGGTATGAAAGCGTGACACATGAATCACACTTACCTGAAAGGAAAATAATGCAATATTAATAATATAATCTGATTAGCCAAAATAATTTCCATGGAACACCTGCTCAACTCTAGCTAGGACTATATTCAAACAGCTGAACATTCACATAGAAAAGATCTAGGAATACTTCTAAAGAACACACTAGTGAAGACAAATGTAGTAACAAAGTACTATTTAAATGTTAATTTTTTTAATATTAAAGATAGCATGTCTGCTATTAAGGGGCACTGGAACACACACACGATATGAAGCACATGTCAAAGAAAACTAGAAGAACTTTTAAGTGTTAGATACCATGGTCACAAGGTTTCCAAACCACTGATGAGCAAGTTCATGTCCCACAACCAGAGCAACCCACTGGCGAGACGAAGAACAGGAATTTTTGGGGTCAATGAGCAATGCAGTCTCCCTGTATTTAAGAGAAAAAGATAACTGAACAGAGTGGTTCATGCCTAGGGAAGAAAACACAATCAAAAGTAGGTTAAATTACCTAAGCAAGCTAAAAAGTGATCAGTACAACTGAAAGAAACCAAAAGCTATTTCAGTTGAGACGTTAAATTATTTTGGCAAGTTCCACAGCTGCTGGAATGCTTTGGAGCAGTAATTCCTTACGGCATGCAAGAAGACAAGTGCAAAAAAAAAACCCAGGCAGGAACAAGAAAGTTTATCCTTTATTTATAAAAGAGCTCACCTACATAATCTAGGAACCTTAACTGTAACTCCCTTTGCACTGCACGGTGTATGCACAGCAAATCTTCTCCACCTCCCTGGTCCCCAAGGAACTGCAGCTCCTCCACGCGCACACCCAGCCGCTACCCTCGCCACTGCAGAGGCACAAGATTCTCCACACGCACACACACACACACACACACAAGTGCTCCCCGTGTCAGGCATACGACCTCCTGCTAAAAACACTCCTGACCAGGATTTAGGGGGTCAGAAAGGGCTTCTGGACTGCTGCGACTCAGAGGGAGAAACGTGCATCTCAAAACGCGGCTGGTGCCCGCAGGTCATGCCAACCTTCTGTCCCCAGAGGGATAAAGCAAGCGTGCCAAACTGAGCATAACGAGGCGGGGGGGAATTAACAGCACAATTAAGAAAGGCTTCCAAAAATTCTACTCATCCAGGACAATTTTTTTTTCCCCAGAGTGAGTAAAAGATCAGATTTCATCAGAATTGCATGAAGCAGAGAAGTAGCTTGTCAACCTGGGCTCAAATTTCCATTTCAAAATTTTAAGGCCAAATCAAAAGTTTAGCAGAAGAAATTCAAACTATGTCAGGATTCAAAGTCCAAAGCTTACAAGACCAATATTGTACAAAATGAAGAAAAATTGTTCTACCAATGAGCACAGATAAGGTAATATCAAGCAAAAGTACAAAAGCTTGATCAGGTGAACAAAAAAAAAAACACTAAACTGAAAAGGAAGGCAAGTTAATATTTCTGATTTACTCATAGCCACACGGTTATACTGTGGTTGCTAAATTTACCAACTTGCCTACACCGTAAGAAACCCTTCCAGCTGTGTCAGTAAGTGCGTAACTTTTATGGGCAAAAAAGCAGCCAAGAAAGTTCTCTTGTAGAACAGGCAGTGCTGCCAAACACTTAAAAACCTCACACCCTTGGCCAGTAGCTGCAATAGCTCATTCCTGCCTTCCTAAGGTCTGTACAATGATGCACGCTGCTGCAGAAGTTACAATTATCCAAACTGAAGCAAGAGTGGAAGGTATTTACTTAAGTCTTATTTGGGATGATACCCAATAATTACAGCTCCCTACAACTCATCCAATCACTTCCAAGAATTAGTGAACAAAGAGGGGGAAAGACAGTATTTTAACAGCATACCTATAAGTAACAAGGCCCCAGTTCTCCATGGCACCTTTATAAAATAAATACAAAGGTTTATTGATATTGATACACACCTCTTCCTAAATGTTTAAAATTCAAATAAAATACAGTTCATCAATAAAGTGAGTTACTTTACCAGCAGCAAAGTCTGCAATAGCTATGAGATCAATTTTAGGAAGAGGGTAAGGAACATTGAAGTAGTCCTTATAAAAAGGCAGAGTTTTAGCAGCAACCTGTAAGGAACAAGAGGAGAAATGTTAACTTGGAGCAATTAGTAAAACTTGAACATTTATGACTGAAACTGGCTTCAGAAAGCAGCATACACAAGATTTCTTCCAGAAGCCCCATTTCCAGAGCACAATGGTGTGGAAGATTCCCATCCCCTTTTTTTCCCAGGCTGTAGCCTACCCCTCAGTTCTTCTCAGCATCCCTGGACCGAAGTCTACATCACCATATGGTCTAATTCAGTTCTGATTTGTTTTCATCACTACCTTGTGCACAACTGCTTAACATCAAGCCCAGTCTCTCCAAGCCATTAAAGTGGAAAACACCCTCATGAGCTCTGCATGGGTTTAGGTGACTGAAGAGAGGGCAGCGCTATGTCCAACGTGTCAGAGCTCACTACAGCAGTAACCTGAGCGCATTTACCTCTAATGCAAACTTTCCTTGCTCCGCTTTGCCAACAGGAGTGTAAACACGCACTAAGACGCCGTCGAGGGACCTGGCCTCTACGAAGTCATATTCTCCCACCACAAACGCTACGAGATACGTCGACATGACAGGGGTGCGAGCAAACTTCACCTCCACCAGATTTTCATCGTCTGGGTACGGCTTCCGGTCAATGACATTCTTTCAACATGAAAGGGAATCAGTTAGCTCCGTGGAAGTGAAACTGCATTACGCCATACATATGAGTCACACATTTAAAATGAAAGGACTTCCTTTACTATCTCAAATTACAGACCGCAACGTAGTTCCTCGCCTAATGCCACATGGTATATGATGAGGTGTACTTTTATAATATATATGTTATATTCCATTAGAGAAAGGCAGCTGAACACATTAACCATCAGCTGCTGTCCCCCAGAGAGAGCATTACCCACATCCCAGTACAGGATCAGGCTTTCACTTAAATTCTGAAACAGAAACTAGAACCATGTGGTCGGTGGGTAAGGCCAGACTTTACAGGTACCTGTGAAAGTTGCTACAGGAATAAAAAAAGTCTATTTTTAAACTGACTTGCTCTTCTCCAGCAAAAATTTCTACAAACACTTGCACCGTATTTAAAACAGCAACCTGAAAATGCCCACTTGGATTTGTGACAGAGGTATTTCTACTTGCACATTGTACCCCAGGTCTGGTCGGAAATTCTCTAGGGCAGAAAATGTGCTTATTTATCTCAAGTGCCGTGTCTGCTTACGTGGCTGTAACAGCTATATAAACACAAAAAGACACTTTCCCCCCCCAGTCACTCTTAATCAAGCAGCACGTGGCATGACATATGCTTTTTTTTTTAAAACAGACACCACTGTGGTTTGTGCAAACTGTTTAGGTTTTGTGTGTCTGACACCACAGTATCTTTTTAAAGGTTCTCTCAATTTAGAGCCACTTAGGAAAAGCTAGCAGGACAGTCTATATTCTTAATTCTGTCTGTAACCAAAACACACTATTAACTATCAAATAATCAGCTACCATTATTACAATTTTATTTAAAATGCTGTTTACCTGCACATCAAGAACTTACCATATTTGACAAAGCTACTCTGTCTTTAGGAACCACCAAAGAAATATCAAATGTTGCCTTAATAGCAGGCTCATCCCAGCAAGGGAAAGCTCTGCGGGCATCAGTAGCCTGAAGGAAAGAAAAGCATTAAACAAATAAACCATGAGAGCGTGGCAATAAAACACACAAAAATTTACAGGCAAGTTGGATGAATGATGGCTTGTCTCTGGTGCAGTCTCTTCACTGACACTCTTGACCTCTGCATTAGAGGGTTTTGTTCTTACTGTGGTACCTTATTTCACTCTTGGTTTAAAACCCTGCAGCTGAAAAGCGCTCTGTGGTCTGGTGGAATTCTACAGTCTGAGCAAAATTTAGCAGAGTCACGACAGGAGCAAAGCTCAGTCATGTGAAAGCAAAGAGGGAGCCCAGGCGTTCACAGAGCGCACACACAAGAGCACCTATTTATATTCTGTCAGGAGACTGTGCCCAAGAAACGTTGTATTTGTATGAGGTAAATACTCCACGTTTTTATGTAACCAGGCAGATAACGATGAAATTACTCTATGGTACAACATTCTGTCATGATGTGCAGGGTTTACGTAATGCTCGAGACAGAATCTGGCTCACATTTTGGATGTCATTAAGATGCAGAGATAAAGGCTGAGTGTCCTATTAAAAAAATTAATATACTTCACAAGGGAAAGTTATACAGAGGTATTTGATCACATCTAAATAAATAGCTGTTCTTAAACATTGCAGCTATTGAATATACATACGATGCATCGCACAGCAGCGTGATCCTTGGCTGGGGAATTTGCCAGATCCAGAATTTACTGACCTTCAAGTCGCAATGCAAAGGCTGCTTTTAGTATCACCCATCCACACTAAGAGCAAGCAGCAAATAAATATGGATTTTTCACGTTTACCCAGAGGGTACAGCTAAAGCCAGGAAATAGCATCTTTCCTTCTTCTAAGCAGAAATCCTGTACTCAGAATGACATTCCCCGAAAACAAAAGCATAGCCCATACCTCAAACTGAGTGACAGCAGCATAACGCGTGTCTCCAGTAGGGGTGGTGTATTTACTTCGGTAAAATCCTTTCATTTTATCATTCAGCTCCCCTACAAAGTCTATCTTTAGCATCCCTGTCCCTGTAACACAAATAGATGGGACACTGTTATTTGCACGTGCCAAAGAGAACATTTATTTGGTGTAGACCTTTAGGCCAAGCTACTCCACCGGCCCAGTGCCCTTCTGAAATCGGATGTCCCTTCAACTCCCCTCCACCCATCACTTTTTTGCCGTCCTCCCTCAAACCCTCCACTCTCCTCACACAAAATAGGCTCCAGCAGAGCAACGTGGGCAAAGCCAGGCTCACCGCAGCACTTTAGCATCGATCGGAGATCAGAGGCTGCTGCAGCGCTTCTGCTCATCTCCTAAACACTGCAATAACCAGGAGAGAACTTACCTTAAGGCACTGGAGAAGTCTGATCCTACAATCCATACTTTTGTGTCAAGTTTGCAGACAATACAGGATGGCTACTAAGTAATAATAGCATCCTATCAAATCTGCTCCAGAAGCCAAGCTGAAGCAGTGGCTGCGTTCAAGCCTGTAAGTCAATTAGTCGCAGGATTTATTCTGTCCTCGGTGCTTCAGTGCAAAAGGGGAAACTTGATCTTGATCAGAGAGGCAGCATGCCAATATCCCACAGAATGAGACACCCTCCAATCTTTATATTCATATTAGTCAAGGTGAAACCAAACCGCTTTATTCCAACTGAGGAGCTGGGTTTTGATCGACAGACTCCTCAGAGCAAAAAAAACTGCAGCAGTTTTAAAAGAATTGGTACGTTCACGCCTAGGAAAATACTGCAGTAATTCAGATTAGCTCATTCTCAGTGAGAGGAAACCACATCATCAGTAGGTAACGCAAATAGCTTAAATAGCATAACACCCAATAGCAGGTAAATAATTAGAGTCACTTCAGGTGCTGGAAGCAAACAACACCGTTAGCAAAACATTTTCCACTCCAGAGGCTCACAAAGTGACTTACAGTGGACAGACTCCCCAGGGACCACTACCTTCACAGCCAAAAACTTCAGGGAAGACAGAGCTGTCCTACTCCAGCTCTTTCAAGTGCAAACATCTTAAACACACAGTTGAAGCGAGCAGAAAGCATGAAAATAGCTCTTACCTTTCTGAAGAGTACTGGGAAAGGAGAGGGTCACCTTTTCATCCTCATTTTGATAGTTGAAGCCTGTAGCATGTACCTCTGAAACAGAAAAACAGACTGCTTTGTTTGAAATACGACCCAGGGATGTTTTTGTAACTCATGAGCATTTAAAATGAACTGAATCAGCTGAATCCAACATGATGGGGTTACTGAACAAATCAACCAAGATTTCACATCACCCAGAATGATAAAATGCAAGCAAGCAAAGAAACGCCACCCACTGTGGGAGTTCATGTTACATTATCTTGCTTCAAATGACCAAACAGACCATGCTTACATCAGATATAAATCAGATTTACATCACATATACAGCCCCAGACTCAAAGCACCGCCCCCATGCTCCTTCCACCTCTGCCATGTCCCATCCATCAGGGCACTGCTCTTCTGCTGCGACAAGCAATGAAAGCTGCACCATTAAATTGTAAACTTGTAGCAAGAAATGCTGGTAACTACCACCACAATCCTGGCAAGTGGTAAAATAACACACAAAACTTCCCCTCAATATTACATGCTTACATCGGTGCAGCAGGATTATTATTAATGATCACAAGCATCCTGATTTGCAGATCTCTCTTTGAAAAGCACGCTGATATCCACAGCAAGGTGGTTTTGTTTGGTTTGAACCACAAAGGAAAACACAATGTTGATTTTATTTTAAAAGTGTTCTCAGAACCAGGGACCTACCTCAGCGTTTATATACCATTCAGCAAGGGCATCCAAAATCAACCTGAATATTTAGCAGTGTGGCATTTACATAGTGCTGGATCTATTTCTAGATGCAAACGTCCCAACTATGAGGCCAAGCTGGACAAATGGGCACAGGAATAAAACAAATGCACAGGAATGAAACAGTTCCTGCATTAGAGCCCAGAGACAACACCTGGTGTTGCTGCTTCCTTCCCCATTCATCACAGTCCACTCACTGCATCCCAAGTTGATGAACATCTATGCTCCTTCAACTAAAACAAACCCTAAAATAGCTACACAGGACCTCACTTTGCAGGTTCTGCTACACGTGTCACTCTATACTCAAGCACTGCAATAACCAGCTATCTTTAAGAAACCCAAATCTGCACCAAAACGAACAAGCAATGCTTTCTACCACACATCAGCATCTTGGAGCTACCAAACTGGGTAAGCCTGGATAGAATACACCCTTCTATGGAGACATACTGATTCTAGATTTATAAATATAATAAATACAATAAATATTTGGCAGTTCAGTATAGTTTTGAAAGATAAGGGAAATGCACAGACCAGTTTAAAGTAACAGCATTTCCAGTACAAGCTGCCTGTCCCATCCCACATTCATCCCTAAACTGAAGTGAAAACACACGTGGGATACTGAAATGCTAGCAAGGGTCTAGCAATCTTTTCAGGTACTTTCAAAACTGACCTAGCAAGAACAATTCTGTAAATAGCTTCAGTTATCTACTAAAATAGATACTAGTTTGAACAGTCACAGGAAACAGGGTAAAAAGGAATACTGGAAAGTGCATCACTGTATCAACTTCTTCGTGACATGGAATTCTGAATGACAAAGCTTGTCTGAAACAACAACTTAACTCAGAGAATTAAATTCCACACTCAAGTATCACTACAAGAACCCAGGTATTCGGTTTCAGCGGCAGCCGAAGCACACTCACAAGATGTTCAGCTGAGTTGTTCCATATGTGACTAAAGTAACTGGAAGCGTGTTTTCACTTGTACAAAATTTAAAGTGCTATTTATTCTGGAATAGTATGATTTCAGCCTTAAGTCAGAGTTAATGCCATCCTCCGCTCACAGAGAACAGAAATGCAGAAACTGTATGAATGCATTATTAGTCTTAACTACCGGTTTCACAGTGCTCCACTCAGCGTTTAATCAGAGTTCACCACCACGAGAGGGTACACAATACAGAAATGTTTACAATGCAATAATACTAGCTTAAAAAAAATACCACAGTACAGAAACAAGTTCAAGGATCAAGTAGAAGAACTTTGCGCTACTGGTCTGTACTGAGGAGTTACAAAAGTTTTAAAATCAGCTGTAAGAGGGATGAGATAGCCCATTTAAACAGAATACACGCCAAGGGCATCAAAATGCCAGCAAGCACCGGGAAACAGCAACACCTTCCAGCCGCTTTCCAAGTTTATCCAGAAAGAAAAGCAAAGGTTTAGCTTTTCTTCTTATAACCCCACGGAATACTGAGGCAGCAAAGGATACGTTAAGAGACTTGGAGAGAAGATATTCAGGGGATCAATGCTAATGTACAACACTGCTCTGAAAATGCCCTTCCCAGCACCAGACTGCAGAGCCGATCACTGACTGCATCGCTCACATCCAATGAATTTTGACCCCAGCGGTCTTTGAAGTCCGACATACAACAAATCTGCTGTTCTGCGACAGCACGAGAGTGCCCTCGGTCAGGGGGAAGGAGGGATTGAAAACCCATCGGGAATTTCTGTCAGCCTGCCCATGAGGAATCCCGCTGCGGGACAACCTGCAGACACCGAGCTGTCAACCGTGGTCAGAGGCTAACGGAAAACCCGAAACACGCCAGATAAAGATCAGCACAAGAATGCAGAAATGCTCCTCCCTGTGTGCTTTAAAATGACCACAGCAAACCAAAAACATTTGTACCTTTTTACAGCTTCTAATGGAAACAATCTGATAGCGAAGACAAACAGCACCATGACTCCAGGATCAGAGTTCTAACCTGCTGAAACCGAGAAATGCAGAAGAATGCGTGTTATGCAGATCTTCTGCCAAAAGTTGACAACAAATATCACGTTTCCCTCTCCTCCTCTCCTAAATCTGAAGTCCTCCTGAGTGTATTTGAATCTGTAGCTCCACTACTTTAAAACCTTTTAAATCTGTACTAGGAAAGCCATAGGAAAGACGCTGTTTAACATCACCAGTGCTAGAAGAAGGTGGAGACCTTGAGGTTTTTTTTCCCCTACAAGAGCCTGGGAAAGCACCTTAACAGATGCAGAGAGCAACCTTGTTTCCAAGAGCTTCTCACTGATAATTTTGCAGTGTTAGGTCCCAATCACCCTCAGGTTAGAAACAACGTTGAAACAAGTTATGGTTTAAACAGGCTGGAGGCAGCCATCAAAGGCGGCCGAGTCTTGGGCTACCCCGGGGCCTGCCTCTGACCAATATCTGACAGCGATGGCAAGTGAACATCTGGAACCACAGGTACTGCTCATTTACAGTCTCACAAGTACTCAGTGAGGAGTTGGTGTCTAAAAGTCCAAGCTCAACTCCAGCAGTACTTTAGTAATTCTCAAAGCAGACACTTAGATATCAATTACTGAAACAGCAGAATATAAGTGAAAGATTGAAAGTTATATTTTTTAAAACTATTCAGTGCTAGTAATTTAATCCAGTGCAAAAGAACCATGGAAAACCATCAACAATACTTTTTGTTAGAGTTTAAGAGAACTGCTTATAATAAAGATGTAATTGCAGTAAAAGGCTGCCTGAATTCCTAACAGCGTTGAATACAAAAGCTCCTGAAGAGAAAAACACAATTTTGGCAGCCTGTGAACTTTGGAGAGTTTGGCACTGCAAGGTTGCAAGTTAATCACTAGCACATTAGTACAGTCTGGACCGAGTCGCATGAGAAAATGAAAAGCTGCTCGTGCTCCAGGTCTTCGGAAAAACTGCAGCAAAATCAGATGGAGCCACCCTCCCAAACTCGCAGACCTGCATATCAAATTTTACAACATGTTAAACAAATTACAGAGCGCTTCCTGAAACTGCACAGTGACGAGGGTGAAACATCAATTAATGGTCCCAATTCCTGTATTACATGCTTATACACGTGGATCCTAGCCAAAGGTTTAAGCAATGTCTAATGCGCACGTATTTCAGAGCAAAGACAAAGCCAAGTGCAAGAGATGGAGTTTTCTCAAGTAGCCCTCATTCCATGGCATGGAGAAGTCAGCGGTAATTAAGGTATGGTGGCTTAATGAACTTGCGTTCATCAACTGAGCTGCAGTAACTGTGTGCGCTCTGCAAATGAAACACGTTGGCCTAGAACACCTACGTGTTGACACAGCACACACCGTCCTTCAGCTGCAGCCACTGAACCATGCCGGTGCAATTCCCCACAATGCCAACGCTTACGAGCCTTTCCTCATCTTTTCACGTGTTTCAAACCGGTTGTAAAATCCTTTGAAGGAGTCAGGAGTACTCCTACATACCAGATATTCCCAAACTGTCCATGCCAGTGCAGCCCAGGCCTCCTTAAAAAGCCGACCATTAATAATTCCGTCACATCAAGTCGTCACCAGAAGAAAGGATGGAGATGAGCTTTTCTACAACAAAGAAATATTTCACAACTGGTTTAAACAAATCCAGTTGTTGTGGGCAGAGACAGTAGTCTCATTTTTCCCACCTGGCCCCAGCCGCATGTTCCCATTCCCTTCCTTCCACTGGCACTCACACGCAGTCGGGATCAGGAGGGCGAGCTGTCTCCAAGCTGCTTTTTGTGTTTCCCCTCGCAGAGGCAGTTTTCAGCCAGGGCAGTTTCCTGATCCACACGGCTGTGCGGCAGCACACACACGAATGCCAAGAGAAGGGAGGGAGCGAGGGCAGGCGTCACCGCTCCGTTCCACAGCAGCGTGATTTCAGACTGCCCTGCACTCACCAGTAAATGCTGCAGCTCCCGGGTCACAGCAAAGCACGGCTCACGTACACTGGGGTCACGCTGGTTTTCAGCGTCAGCTGAGGCCTAAAACCAGCTTCTAGCACCAGCATCCAAACATGCCCCTGCCACACTAGGAAGGAAAAGACTGAAATCATGACTTCTGGCCTTAAAACCTTTTAAAGGCTGAAGCACAAATCAAAGTTCACTCAAGTATTTCAGCTAAACAAACACCACTATGGTTGCAGGTCCTTTACTATATGAAATTGCCAACTGCTGCCCTCCAAGCATCTCTACAGTTATGACACTGCTTTAGATCCCCAAGCATCTGAAAAGCTTTCCAAGCCAAACAAAGGCAACGTAATTCACTGACTGTGACTTCAGCACAATTTCACAGCTCCTTAAAAGAGAGATTAACAGGAAGCTCAAACTACTCCATGTTCACTAAGTATGAAACTCAATCCCCTAAAATTTAACTTAAGAACCAGCTCACTTAGGAATGCCTTCGCACTTCTTCATTTAGCTGGGCAAAGTCAACCATCTGGACAAAGGAAATACAGCACATGCACTATAGATACAAACATTTGAATACAAATGCTAAAAAACAGCTTCTGGAAAAGCCAAACCCAATTGCTTGCTGTGATTGGTGGGAGGAGCCAGTCTCAACTGCAGCATCGGAAAACTGTGTCTTTTGAGTAGCTTTGTTTCATTACAGCAAACCTGGCACCAACACCAAATCCACAGCCTCCAGTCACAATCACTACATTAGTTGTGTGACGAAACAGAGTTTTTCTGCTCCAAAGTACCGAGTAAGCAATTGCTTCTACTTTATTAATCACCGTCACTCAATTGCGGATTACACAGAAAATTTGACTGTAAAGCTTCAGAGATCCTCCCTCAGCTTCCTGTCAAATATTGGGCAATAATCTGATTTCCCTGCAAATCTGCATTAAAATTCCAAAGACCAAGTTCTAACCTCTGCTGTATCCATTTCCAGAAGAGCGACCAGGAGGGGAGGCAAAACACGGCCCACGGCTCTAGCAAATATTTCTGTTGCTGTACAAGCCACAGTGCAGTAGGCACTCAAGACTAACAAGAATTATTAGAAAAAGAAGAAACCATTCAGCACAAAAGTCAACAGATCACCGCCGTACACAAGGGAAAGGTAGCTGTTGAACAAGGCGGCCTCTTTTCCTCACAGCTACTGTTGGGAACAGAAGCACACTTGAAAGAAGATAAGTGACTGATTATCTTTTGTCTCACATTTACGGACAAGCAGGAGAGAAATTCTTCCCCACTGAGATACAGAACTAAAAGAGGCAACGATTCTTCACTAGAGCCTTTGAAGGAGAAAACATCACTGACTTCTCACTCATTTCAAACATATTATATAGGCAATCGGTGCAAGGCTCACCTAAGAAACTAAATCCAAATGATCTGCCTGATATTCCTATATTCCCTTCTCGGGTTTTGAGAGCAGTTATACAATTACCATGCAAAAGCTGTGCACAATAGAAGCATTAGGAGACTGACCTGATCCCTATCAACAGGTGCCAGCAAATACTCTGCCAATTTCATGCAATTTTACTTCCAAAGCCATTATACTACTTGGCAGTTTACCAACCTGAAAGACAGCTTTAACCCCATCAAGCCTGAGTATAATTAGAGTAAACGTATGACAAAGCTGCACCTCAAATATTTACGATACAGTAGTTGGAGAGGTGAGTGCCTACACCACAACCAGCGCTGCACTCATATTCCTGTGTCCAGAGCACCACATTCAAGGCTGTCTGAAAAATGAGAATGCAAGAATTTAAGCTACAGAAACTCACTTCCAGTGTACGTGGTCATAAGTCTCCATTAAGCTCTATTATTACTACTTTGAAGTTACAAGAAGAGTATATCACTATTAAAGAACAGAAAAATAGACCCCTGTGAGAGGGAAATCAGCTCAGAAAACAACGAAGATAATACATTAAAATAGAGATCCACCCTATTTTATGTTTTTTTCCCGATTTCACTGGAAAAATACTTTATTCCTAGGTACCTTTTCCATTTATTTTCATTTTCTCAATAACAAAATAAAAAAAAATAATAGGCGGTTTGGGCCTATGGCAGGGTGGGAGGTGGACCAGACTCCACACACACTTTGTTATTACTACCATTCTTGTTATCGCCTCATTACTCAGTACAAGAAATAGCTCCAGGAGCACTTAGCAACACAGTGCATCCAATCAACCAAAGATGACCAGTGGCAGCGTGTGAAGGCCCAAGAATGGAGCACCAGGTCTCATCAGGTCCTGGCAGCCCAAATCAGGCCCATAGGAAGCAGGGCTTTGTTCTTTCACCATCAGAATCGGGCTTCCAGATTTCAAGCTCTTTGGCAATGCTTTTCTCCTCTGCCTTCTCTCACTGCAACTGCATTTCCTGTGCTGAGCTCTGCTTTTCCACACACACCCACCAAACGCTGCTTCCTTAGGACAGAGGTCTCCATCCACCCAAGCACCGCTCAGCTGCTCTCAATTGCACTTAGGAAGCCCTGTGGTTTCTTTACACTATATTAAAAAACAAAAAGTCAAACCAATTTAAACACAGAGACTCATTGCAGACATTTCACTTGTCACAAATCCATTAGCCATAATGTCACTACAAGAATTGAAATTGTCCCTAACAAATCCAGTCCAGAAAATTAAGATTTATTTTCTTCTTTAGGTGTTCAAACACTGCCCTTCCCTCCAACTTTCTTCAGCTGCGGCACAAGGATACTCAAGAAGTTTAAACCTAACGGAAGGAACACCCTTCTCCTGTCCATCATCAAGATTATTCCTTCAGCTCACAATCATGGTTTCAACAAAGTCCTTCATGACATCCTTGTGGCATTTTCCTCATAGAAGCAGAAGCTCTGCAGAGCCTTTTGTCCTCTGAAGGACTTAAGAAACAGCCGTACACAGTGGACCAAACAGCTTCTGTGTTTGAGATGGCAAAGGCTCCATAAGAAAACCAGAAAGGCTTTGCACTGTTAGACCATCACTGTTTCAAGCAGCTTATTTTCCACACCTTAATCATTTCATGCTTTGATTGCTATAACTTTTTTTGCATCTGCTAAATCTCCTCAAAATACAACTGGGGAAGATGTCAACTGTATGTTACAAACAGGTACCATTTCTTCAATTTCTCCAGTAATTCCAGCCGTTCCCTGAACCAGACCCCAACCACTGTCTCCTCCACAATCATCATTTTCCATGTCACCCTACACTCAGAACATGCTGCTAAATGTCAGTTAAATGTCTTCTGTACTTCTCCAAGTCCTTCCCAATGAGCGTTTTCTACTGCAGGCCATTATTGATGCATTCCTTATCTAAGCCTTTGTCACAGATTTTGTCAATATTGCAAAGTCCATAGGGACAGCACACGTTCTTACACAGATAGCCAGTGTAAAGATAAATACTCATGACAAAACAGTCAGACATCCTTTTGCCTACGGGTATGACAGAGTACAACGTAGATGTCATGGAAGCACGAGGCACCATTTTTAAACATAATGCAAATGGCAGTGATGGGAAGAGAATGATCGTTAGATAATTAATGTTGTGCTTCTAGGAGTAGGTTAGCTTATCAAACTATGACATAATTTTGCAATCAAAGATGTTAACTGTTGGCAACCCCATGTCAGAAATGAGATGGGTTAACACACCAAAATTTCAGCAAAAATGCAATCCTACCTTCGTCCCCTTCTGGCGCATAGGAAGCTGTAATAATGTCAATGTCAGCACAGTTCATCACAATTTGGTTGGTTGCCTGTTTCACCTGGAAGAGAAATTTTATGAGCATCAGGAAGAAATGGTGGTTCCCAGTCCCTCGAGCTCCCTTAGGTGGGCATTCCCACCTCCCTTTAATCAAAAAACCCCTCCATCATCAAGCGTTTGAAATAAAATTTAGTGTTTAAGAGTGGTGAAAAAGACAAAGCTATTCCGGTGGCTGCTCTCATTTGTTCTGGAACACGCGTACTTGAATCCCATTCAAGCCATCCAGGCCTACTCATCAACACTGTAAATTATTTAAGGGAACGAACTGCCTGTTAAAAATCGGTCTGTAAGCTTGACAATAGGGCCCTTGTACAGCCCTGGGAATCCAAGACCAATAAAAACAGATAGTGAGCCTTTAAGCTCCCTTTCAGAGACGACCCATAGGAGCGTATAGCAAAAGCCCTTGAACACAGCCTTACATCATTCAGAGATGGTCAGAAACAACCTACGGCCCTGTGTTCTCAACTGTCAACACCATAACAACTTCTTAGGTTAAAAACATCTGCCAAGAAACTCGCCTTTACATTTTCCTGAAAGCTTTCCTTCTGCCAGCTCTTGGCTCTACACACTTTGCTTTATTTAACAAGTGGCCAGCTCCCAGCGTGCTAATAAACTGTCTCACTGTGCCAGCTTTCTATTTGGATGCAAGAGCCTGAATAGAAGAATTAAAATTAAATATCAATTAATTACAAAGGGGTAAAATATTTGGGAATTAAACTAGGAATTATTTAGAAACTTATGGCTGAAACCTCTAGAATCACCACACTGGATCGAGCTGGTAGTTCTGCTGGTCCAGGATACAATTTCCAGCAGCAGACAATGTCAACATGAGTTTGATGTATGCACAAAGGAACTGCTCCCTACCTCAGACAGCAGGTTCCTTAAAGCATGAGGACTTACATACATTAAAATGCCATATTAACACCTATCCACGTTTGAGCACACAGTGGAAACCAAGTGGACCCATCATTTGTGATGGAAACTGGTCCCCACGAACCAAGAGCTCGTTCGCCCCTGCAGCAAAATCAGCAAAGGGCTCTGCAAGTGCACGCCAGCTCACCAGCATCTGAGTGCAAACACAATTATTGCGAGTAAAGCCAAAATAATAAGCTGTGAAGTGTCACAGTTGAAGCAGACACTTATCACTCGGCCATAAAGGAGCTGGTATCTACGCAAGATGAGTCAAAGGAAACGGATATTCAGTCTTATGCTGTTTGACCTAGGCCCAGTGGAGAAATAGTTCCTTAGTCATTGTGTACGTGAAACTCGAATTCAAGACTAGTCAGTGATAAGAGAGGCTTAAGAAATTTAAATGCACAACTTCCTAGGCATACCCACGTCCTAAGAATGGTCCATCTACCCAATAAAGGGGATCAAAGGGCTGATATCGAACGCTCCAAGGAAAGCCAACCCCCCAGTGGATGGTCAACACAGACAAACCTAACTCAGAAACCTCAGACACCAACTGTGCTCCTGAAGCAAACATCTACAGCTTATTCCTATCAACAGAATTGTTCGTATAATAAATATTATGTAAAGGTTTGTACTTTCTGACTAGCATAACTTAGTGAATCTTTCCAAATCCGCTTGTTAGCCACCCTGCAGTAGTGTGTCCCACAGAGCAGTGCAGAGGAGCTGTGCTGTTCTGTGGTGTTTCTTTTTAAGAATTTCAATCTTCAATGAGAAAAGGAATAAAGTTTTATTCATCTGCATCTAGAGCATCTGCACCACATTGCCTCTCTACAGGAAGAAAACCAAAACAACGTTACCTAATATACTTAACCTGATACTAAAACCAACATGCTTGCAAAGCATAAAACCAGCAAATGTAGCACCTGAAGTGACCCGGGTTAGATTTGATGCTTCTAGTAAAGATTTACCATCTGAAATCTATTTTTTTGTTCAATTTGGTGTGCATGAAACCAAAAGATTACAACACTTCCCAAAACCTCAGATCAAAGGCCAACAATTTTCATCACAACATTAGGGCTTGGGGTTTTTCAAGGTCTTCTAAAACACAGAAAAAATCAGAATGAGAAAAGCTTTTTATAAATGCCTAGCAGAGATCTTGATTCAATCTACAAATCCAAATCTCTCTGGGTTAAGAATTCAAGATGCATAAAGAGCTGTCCAAATTGCAGACAATACTGGGTTTAACAATAGGCTTGATCTTTAAAAAACAACCTCTTCTGAGGACAGAGGAATTTTCAGCACAGCACCGTGCCTGCAAAACATGAAAGTTTAGGTTTAAGCAAACACAACCTCAGAGGCTCCTCAGAAAGGCAATTACCTATTTTTAGATTTAATTTTTTTTCTTACCTCCTACAAATATCAAGCCAGCTTTACAAGACTGCAAGGTACTAGTAAACATTTAAAAGGATTGCGTGAAGCAGTAGCCTAAAAAAACATTTACCCTCCAACTCCCGAAAAACAAAGGGCAAAAGTCAGCATGCAGACAGGAATATCAAGCGTAGTGTACAGCACGCTCTGAGGCTCTCATAATTTAATTCCACGAGGAATAAAAAAGTTTTCATGTTGGCACAAAGGCACGAGAGCCTCCTCTCTCTCTCATCATGAAGCACAGACACACCTGTAAGAACACAACTCTAAACTGCCCAGCATAATTAACTTATTTTATGTCCCAAGAACCTACAGCTCTGTGCTTACAGACACCAGGTATACCATGAAGCTGATTGAACGTGTTTTACTGCACGAGGAATAAAAAAGTTTTCATGTTGGCACAAAGGCACGAGAGCCTCCTCTCTCTCTCATCATGAAGCACAGACACACCTGTAAGAACACAACTCTAAACTGCCCAGCATAATTAACTTATTTTATGTCCCAAGAACCTACAGCTCTGTGCTTACAGACACCAGGTATACCATGAAGCTGATTGAACGTGTTTTACTGTGATACCTTGAAACTGCTTTTACATTCCTGCTAACACTATGTTCTGAAAGACGGATATTCTGCTCGTGCAGGGCTTTTCATGAATGCAATCATATTAAATTACCAACAAAAAGCATCTGACTGCACAACATATAAGCAATTATAAAGCTGTATATATGCGAACTGTCACCCTGCTTCACCTTGCTTTATAATTTAATAACTTTACTCTTCAGCAAGACGAGGCCGATCAAGGCAAGAGCAAGGTACAAACGCCCAGGATAAAAGCAGTTTTGCCATAAGGCTGACACATTTAAAAGCAGCAGATGAACCAAGACCAGTACTTGGAATGAAGGAATGTTTCAAAACTTTAAACCTGTTGCCTTTGATGAAACTCGAGTACCATGAATCACGATTCAAATGCCTCCTGAGATTAGCCAGATGCAGATACCACAGAGCAGGTCTGCCCTGCCATAAAACTGCAGACCTTGGAGACGTGTCCGTAACCTGTCGTTAGGTTGACACACACCTCCCAACCCCTACACACCCACACTCAGCACTTGTTTCTGGGAAGGAAAAATCTCACCCAACAGGAGATTACAGCTTGAAGTTTTCCAAGATAACATCATTTGACAGAAGAAGGGCTAAAAAGGCTAATTATTTGGGTTTGAAAATGAAGATGTTTTCAAAACTCTGCCAAATAGGACTTGAAGATGTTGTAAAGCTCTTGTTTTTCACCGGTTATGAGAGCAGGAGAGGGCCTGATGGAAAACCCTTTCTAGGACATTAGAAACAGGCATGTGAATGGCTTCAGGAGAATGCCAGCCTTCCCAAAACACAGGATGAGGTGCACCAAAAGACACTTTCTATAGTCAAAGCTAATTCTCTAGAGCCATTCATAAGATTAGATAATTAAAATCTTGTCACTCGGCTTCAGAGTCCTTTTCTAAATGTAGCATTGTAACAAGAATGTATGGATTTAGCATTTTACTCTCTAAAAATAGAGAACTAAAATTACCTCGGTTCTGTTCTAGGATTATCTTTTTAAGAATGTCAATCTTCAATGAGAAGATGAATTAGAAGTTTTATTCATCTGCATCTCAAGCAAATTACGGTAGCCAGACAGAAAAATCACCAGTGCCACGACTCCTTGGCCCACTGGAAAAATTCACGTAATTCCCAAGAGCATCCAAGCAGTCACACACACTTCAGAAGTGTCAAATTCACCTGGACAAGTAAATCCCTTTGTAACTCTGATCAATGCAATCATCTCAGCCCCATGAATTATAGAACTGAAAAAGGCCTTTTTTGGGGGGGAGGAAAGCAAAGGCTACTATTGAAGCTGGTGGCAAAAGGGTCCACAGAGCCCCGAGGTCCTGATTTTGAAACACCCACTGTGGTACCTTTAACACTCACATTCACATCTGATTTTACGTGCTGGAAATGTAGGTTACAATGCTGGATAACACGACCATACATATGTACTCGACAACTTCCCTCCCCCCCAAAAGATACTGACCACAAATACTACACCCATTAAGCTTTATTTTACAAGGTTTACATCCAAGAGTGTCACAATTAGTCTTTAACTGACATGCAGCAGGATCAGAAGCCTATACATTCTTTAGTCTAGCAGATACCACATAATTAACCTATAAAAAGCAACAGATACAGGTTAAACATTGCTAAATATAACAGAGTATCCTTAAGACATATTAAGGGGACTGTGAAAGATGTTTAACAGAGCCACCCAGCTCAGGTTGTAAATTCTTTAAAGTGAAGGTAGGTTTCTTTGCAATCAAGAAGCACCTCAATGTAGTTTGCAATGAAAGAAACGGATCGCCACACACCACTCTCCAAAGGAGGTCATTCACAGAAGTAAATACCAGGAGGTTAGAGGAGAACCGTGCAGCTTTCTGCAGCTCTGCAGCCCTACACTGGACAGATGATCGTCTGGAGCCATGACAGCATTAAAAACTTCCATTTAGATGCTTAAAACAAATGGTCAAATTTGGGAGCCAGATGTTTGTTTCTGCTGCCAGTTGCTCATCTGTGCCTGCTCAGTGCGGTGCCAAAGAGCAGCATGGCCGCACATCCCCTCCTTGTTCCAGCCCTTGGTTGGGCCTCCCAGGAGTCAAA